ATATATACTATAACTAAATATATTACATATATATCCAACACCTTGTTTTTCCGAAATATTTTAAAGTTTTAAGAAAATGACAATTAGTCCGAGAGAATTTCAATAAAGCACTAAATTTACAATTTAGATGATGTTATCCGATCGAATGCGTGTCATAAGTTGACTTCGAGAGTAGCTGTTTCCGCATTCTTTATGTAATTGTGTTTTTGTGTCTCGAAGAGCTCAGTCAAGTGTTCCATGAATTTTTTGTGATATTTGTCGATTTGCTCAGTTGTGGGTACCTCTATTTTCGGCAGCTCGATCGGATTGCCAACTAAAACGAAGAAAGGAAAATAAATAAAAAATCAGAGAATAGAAAGAAAATAATATTTAAGAAAATTTAATATACATATATACACATATATTAATGGGTATATTAAATTGCGAAATATAATGACAACTTTACCGACTACGGTGACGGGTAATCTCTTCGGAATAAGACCAAACGAATACTGGAAGAATCCTCTACCCGAAAAAATGATGGGCGCCAATCCTATGAAATTGCGAATATAGTTCTGGATACGTCTTAAAGTCGATCCTTCTGGACCGTATACTTGATCGTATAAATCCGTTTCGCCAAAAGAAAAAACAGGAACTATCGACGTGCTGAATTATGAAATTATATTAGATTTGAATATCGCGTTCAGTACCATTATCGATCATTTTCATACACAAACTTTTCCCCTCTCTTTTTTTATTTTCCTTAATTATAATTTATTCTACTACAATTTATTACAAATAAATATATGATTTATGGGAAAATACATATCTGAAAAGATAAAAAAAAAATTATCCGCTTACCCATGTTTTAAGGCAAGTTTCACGAAGCCCTTTCTCCTTTTTACGATGGTACGGTAAGTGCCTGGCATCGATTCCATGGATTCAGAAGCGCCGCCGATGACAAGTATTGTAGCTCTTCCGGTATATGGGCTCTTTGGCGGTGTTGATAATAAATACTCGATACTTTTCGCATTAGCAGCGCAGCCACCTGTACGCGTTCGAGAATCATCGTCTTTTCATTGCGCTTGTTAGTGTACTGAATATATTTTATCAATTACATGCATCTTATATGTGAAATGTGACCTCGTCTTTTTTTTCGAAACGATACGTTCTCATAATCTTTTCTTCGCCATACACAAAATTATTCTTACATAACACGATATGTTAAATAGCTTTCTATTATAAAAATTCTTTTTTTCTATATGACTCTATCTAAAAAGAAGATATTAAAACAGCACATTTTTTACAGACGAAAAATAATGTTGCGACATATGTCATCTTTCAAGTTGACGTAACGCAAAAATTCGAGCATATTTATGTATGCTATATCGAATATTGAAAGCAATGAAATAAAGATTTAACTTGTTTAACTTGTATAACTTGTGTAACTTGATTTAGCTTATGAAATAAAAAAACAGACTGAATGGTAGAAGTAATAGCTACCAAGAGGTTTCTTACCTAACAAATAAGGACATTCTCTGAATAGAGGTATTTTGAAATGTTGATCGAGAGTAATTGTACGTATATCCAATCCGGGAAATAGCTTCTTACATCCCAGTACGTCCGTTCCGAATGAACCAATAACTCCCATCGATAAAATTCCATGGGGTACGGAGATGAAAAGATAAGACTTTGTTGGGTCCAGATCCACTGTTTTCACTAACTTCAAGGGAAAATAATTGCAAAAGTAACGCCAAAATGCGCCATTACAGACGAAAAATAATGTTGCGACATATGTCATCTTTCAAGTTGACGTAACGCAAAAATTCGAGCATATTTATGTATGCTATATCGAATATTGAAAGCAATGAAATAAAGATTTAACTTGTTTAACTTGTATAACTTGTGTAACTTGATTTAGCTTATGAAATAAAAAAACAGACTGAATGGTAGAAGTAATAGCTACCAAGAGGTTTCTTACCTAACAAATAAGGACATTCTCTGAATAGAGGTATTTTGAAATGTTGATCGAGAGTAATTGTACGTATATCCAATCCGGGAAATAGCTTCTTACATCCCAGTACGTCCGTTCCGAATGAACCAATAACTCCCATCGATAAAATTCCATGGGGTACGGAGATGAAAAGATAAGACTTTGTTGGGTCCAGATCCACTGTTTTCACTAACTTCAAGGGAAAATAATTGCAAAAGTAACGCCAAAATGCGCCATTTCTCATCCTCTTTGTCAACGAATCACTGAAATGTAAGATGCAATCACTCTTTAGAAATTAACGATTCTTAATTTAAGTTTTTTTTATCGCGACTAAAATATAACAGAGTCAAAGAGTGATAGGAAGGATTTTTTATTTATCTACAATATTTTTTATATAGACAATATTTTTTTATAGATACTCTATCATATAATTGTTTCAAGACCGACAAGGAAATTAGTAGAATTGCATTACCTTCTGCCACCACGATTGCAAGTGTCCCAATCGTAATACATCCAGAGTAAATACAGTAGCACGAAGTAACGTATTGTTTGCGTGTAGAGTAGAAGATAGGCCGTGAGAATGTATCCCAAAAAATCGCCGAAAGCAAAGATAAAAATCCATGTCGCAACCGCCAAGGTCTGCAGCCTTCTTTGCAGAGGTATATTTAACGGCGCGAATTTTACACCCAGAATTTCCATATTTCCCACCAAGTTTTCGGTGATCTAATCCTTCGCAAAAAAAATCGTATTCTCAACTTAAAAATATTTTAGTTATATAATGAATGGAAGAGGGACGATGTTTTCTTGCTATTATATTATTTAATATTTGAGATCATAAAAAGAAACAATTTTATAAATGGACATTTGCTGTTTATGCACCGAAAAAAAAAATTGTTAACTTGACTAAATCCGTTCAACTATTACCATTTAACAATTACCATTTTTTTAATTGAATATTTAAATATTTATATATTTAAATTAAATACGACATATTAAATTTAACATGACGTATATTTGACTTAAATACTTTATTTCAATTTAAAAAATGGTAATTAATTGAACGGATTTAGTCAAGTTAACAATTTTTTTTTGTACATATCGACATGCATTGCGCGGACATCGCGCATGCGAAAATGTTAAGTTAGATTGAATTTCATCGCTAAAATTGTCGCAAATTAAGAATAAATTTAAGAAATTTCGGTGTTCCCTTTTATTTCGTGCTACATCTTGCCTGCGATGAAAGCTCTATATTGGGAATTGTATTTCTTTTGTCGATCTCTTTCGGCGAGGACCGGTCGAGTCACATCGGCTGACAAGGGGAGGGCCAGACGTGCCCATCTCAGATTCACGCGGTAATTTTTCTATGAATAGTCCTTAATAAGAAAGAAATTGTGTTAAAGTTTTAGCGCGCGCTTTTCACGCATTTGTTTGGAATCATAACAAAAAATAGTTTTACAAATGGACATTTGTTGTTTATACGTATCGACACGCATCGCGCGGACATCGTGCATGCGAAAATGTTAAGTTGAATTTCATCGCTAAAATTATAGCAAATTAAGAATAAATTTAAGAAATTTCAGTGTTCCGTGCTGCAGTTTTATTTTGTGCTGCACCTCGCCTGCGATGGAAGCTCTATATTAGGAATTGTATCTTTTTTTTTCGATTTCTTTCGGCGAGAACCGGTTGAATCATATCGGCCGACTGAAGATACAGCACGAGATATGCTTATAATCATACTTATTAAGGATATTTCCTTGTTTACCTTGATGTTTTTTGAAATATCTTCTTAAATTAAGAATATATTTTTAATAATTATTTATAATTTTCTCTCTTAAATTAAAAGGACCTTTTTGACGCTTATTTTAGAGAAAGATATTATAAAAGTAAGTGAAATATTCTTAAGAAGAGAATACTTTTGGTTCTATTTTTTCGATGTACTTTATCAAGTAAACGAACGCACAAAGTCTATCTTTGATGCGTCAAAGACGGACTTGATAATTTCCTCCTGTCTACTCTCTATATATAGTTCTCTCTTCATAATCTCAAATCGATTTATTCTGCGACATTCCGCATCATTACGTTCACTTACTCGTTTTATGTAACTAGCATTTTATGTAACGGACGCGACGAAGAAAGCGAAGAGAGAGGAATGTGACATCGCTATTTGACTGTAAGGGTCACGATTATACATAAATTTACTCGTACATTCGCAGGTAAAACGCATAATTGTTTGAGTAAGTAACGTTTCTATTTCGAACTTTAAGTGACTACGAAAGTACACTATTTCTACTCTTCCTCATAAGAAATTGGAACACTGCCAGATAGTACAGAGCCAGTCGTGACATATAAACAAATACTTTACAATACTTTTCGTTTTAATCGCTGCTAAACGAATATGTTATGATGTTTCCATAGTTGTGAAAGAACCGTTATAATGCTCTCTTTGATATTTATCATACATACAAACATCTTGAGAATTAGAAGACTTATCGTTATCAAACTTATATGATATCATAATCATCAACAGTCATACCTGTGGCGATGGCGTTTGGACGTTACCCATTAATTTGTACAGACTCTACGCGGGTTTTAGTGAATCTTTCTTTTTGATTATCGATCTTAATTTATATGATATTAATTGCAAAAAATACCAAAAAATATCATACGTATCTCACATATCGATTATATTTGATTTACATTCGATTATATTTGAATTGTGAATCCAATAAAAAAAATTGCTTTCGGGATAGTATAATATAAAACGTGTTATATAAAAGATAAGTTTAGCTGTAGAGATGGACATATAATAAATTATGTAAAAATATTTATTATACTAAATATCACATTAAAATACGCGCTCATGTTATTTCGAATATTTTTTCCAATAATGAGCAGAGATCGTCAGACAAACAATGAGATCATTATTCCACTTTATGAACAAAGTGCATATTGCACTCATTGACTATTGTCCATTAAAGAAGACTGCGAAAAACAGAGATTGAATAAAAAATTGAATAAAAGATTAAATAAAAGAATAAGATTGCGAAAAATATTTGAATCATTATATATACTCAGTTATAGCTTATAATTATATGAAAAAATTTATATATGTAAATATCAGTTTTTAAGTGTATATTTCTTTGCTAATTGACTTTTTCATCGTGAATGAGAGAAAAAACTGAATCTTATTAATAATTGATGAGATTCCTAACAAATGCGTTCTTAAATAGTTGTTTTCAAATGCTTATTTCAATTATTGTGTCGGAAACTTCGGGCATATAGTAACACAAATAATGGAATATTATTGCAACACGAATAATGAAATATTATTGTTCCGTTGTTTTCATTTAGCTCACTTGACGCGTGTAAATGATATCAAATATTTCCCGTTGAATTAACGTATGTGTCTCACATTTGTTTTTAGTTACTGATCTTCAATCATGTCAAATTCACCTAAAAATCTTTATCTTCTCAATGTAAAAACAAATAATTATGAATGAAAATCCTATCAACTGTTATGAATAATAAAAAGAATTAAAAACTTTCAACCAGTAAAACTTATAATTTATGCTTGAAATTTTCCCATAGTAGAGCAGTTTAAATAGTTTGAAATTTATGCTTCAATTTTACACTTTTCAGGTTGATTAGGGATATGTCTAAACAAATTGGTAAATAGCACAATACATATATAATAGTACAATAGTATAATACAGGTGAATAGTAAAATAAATGTAGTAAAAATTTAGTAAACTAGTAAAAAGAGTAAAATAAAAACAGGCAATATATCGTGACAAAGCAAAAAGTAAAAACTGATTATTCTTGTCTGGCAGAATAAAACATTATTTTCACATTCAAATTTCCCTTGATATCTTAATTGTTCGAACAGACAAATCTTGAAACATTATTTTGAATGCATTTATTGAATTCGAAATCATTTATTCCATTTAAATATCATCTCCATTCATGTCCCCTTTATAAATTTGAAGCTCGAATGTTTGTATTTTAAACTGTTTGAATAGCATGATCATTATGAATTCATGCGGATATATTTTTTCCACTCACTACCTGTAGATCTCGCGGTCATCAGCAGGTATAGTTTCTCTCAGATTATGCCCTCCTTTGATACACGCCAGATAGGATAACTAGATGATAGATGACTGCTTTTCGTAGAAGAAATGACACTATGCATCGCACGATACAGTGCGAGTGATGTATTTGTGCTTGGCGTAATGTATTTATCGCTTCGATGACTTTCACAGAACGTTCAGCACGGCGTCATACGCCTTACTGTTGGAGCTCGCCGGTAGGAAGAGAGTAAAGCACGTGCTCCGAAAGACTTTGTACGTGTGTACGTGTACGCACGAACACACATGGCGGCTGGCAGAATGGTCACGATCCCAATGTTCGAGGCCTTAAGGTAAAACCTGTTGACCATGTGTTTACCATTTTTTATCGCTTAACCATTAGAATATTGATCTTTGATGGTTGAAAACATACGATTATTGAATTATAATATTTATTATAGCGCGCGTGATTAAAATATTTATGTGTAGAGACAAGATTTACAATTTTGCACAAGAAGGGATACAAAGTCATTGCCGAATGAAAATAGGCAATTGAAATTATTCCATTTGTTGTTATAGTATTAATTATTGATATTGTTCAAAGACTTATATGGGATTCGTAAGAGAGATTTAGCACGCAAAGTAAAATGCATAAGATATAGGTATTATATAGATATCATATAGATTTTATCGAAATAAAATACGTTTATTATACTCTATAAAAAAGGATACAACAAAGAAGTGCATCGACATCGAGAGAAATAATAAACGATAAACCGCACAGGATTTGTCACATCTCGATAATAATCTATTCTTAAATACAAACTATAAAGAACCGCGTGGTAAAGTTAACAAAATTACATCTCATTTATTACCTAAACATAACTATACGAGATATCACTAATTCCTATGTAAAAAAAATAACTAAGCTTAGCATAATTAATAATTACAAGATTGATTCTTTTTTTTTTTTGTTTCAGTACTTTTTCTAGGTCTGAAACAAATTCAATAATGTATGATTAGTATTTTGAACAATCTTCTCTCACATTCTTTTTAATCATGATAACACGCGCACGATAACAAAGCATCATCTCCACACACACGATCATGGTTGTTTTTTTATTATTGATCGCAGTTATATACATGATTTTGACGTGATTTAAAATTTAAATCATAACGTAAGAATTTAAAACCGATATAATTCTTACGTTTGAGTGAAACTATTGCAATAAGTTAAAATTTAGTATTACTAATTCAGTTTGTAGAAAAAAATTGAAGAATAGATATATAGTTTCGTGTGAAAACAGCAGCATTAACTATCGTAATAAAGAGCTAACAATAAGATTTAAACATCCTATTTCTTTACTGTCAAACACATTGAATTATGTTAGAAGCGAAAATATTCGAAAATAAAATAGGAATCCAATTATCTCTTGTGGAAAAAAACACTTTGACTCGTGGTGCGAAAAACGAACTCGTACACACATTTCACACACATACATTCGCGTGTATTTCAAATGCGGTACTACCAGCTGATTAAATAAAAGTTAAGGTCCTAGTCTAGTTGGTTTATTTGTCCGAAATTGAAATATTCAGAATTGACACAATGTGTATGTTATCACTTCAGCAGAATTACACGATTATGAATTAGCAAGACAATATGTTTTCTAATTATATATTGTATATTTTCATTTGTGTGTCTTTTCTAAAATTTTCATATATGAACGTCATAGAAAGATATTAAAATAAAAGTTTGCAATGTAAGTCTTCTGCTTGATATAATGCAGAAAGAGTCAACGTTTGAAAATCGAGTTTAGCAATAAAGAAAGAAGTGACGAAGTAAATATAATGCTGTGCAAATTCGTAATGATATTTTAAACGTTCGTTTAAGACATATTGTTTTGCATGTAGCAGATAAAAATATCATTTGACTACTAGAGTAGGACCTTAAAAAAATTTTATAAGAATCTCTTAAATCTTCGAATAAGTACTTGTCGATTTAAGCATAGATTCAATTGTCAGTTGTTTAACGTATATAATATATTGAGTTAATATAATCGCTACATAACATATATTAAATATTTTAATCATATCCGTCAATTAAATCCCATTGTCACGTATATAAACTTGTCTCAAAGATAACAATATATCATCCGAATAACAATAAATAATTATCCACATTTAAAATTAATTTTTAACATTTTTTAATTTCAGGATTTGTTCGAATAGATTTCTTTTTTAATAAAATTTTAAATGATAAAGTAACGACGATAATACGACACTAATATAAAATATATATATAGATAACAACGATCTCCGAATGATGTTGCATCTTGTCGTTACTTGTTAAACTCGATTGTCAGGGACGGACAGTGAGGTCATTAAACGTAAAAACGGAAAATTGCCTTTTTTTGTCTCATTCCGTGATACCATTGGCCCCTCCGAATAGTACGAGGTTAATTTTTTTTTTTACTATTCGCAGCGCGAACCGTATTGAAAGTCTTTGCAAAACATAGACATATGTAGATACGATAACATGAGAAAATACTACTTCGTCTTTGCGAACAATATTCAGAAAACTCAACGATCGTACTATTTGGTTGTGCTTTCTGAATGCAACCAACGACGATTATAAATAGCACTTTTTTTTTTAAATTCCATAACTGTTTAAATCTCGATCCGTATAAACGCTTATACATTCGATCACACGGACGATCGTATCTTCGGCGGAGGTAGCATGGTCAATTAACCCATTGCGCCTTCTCAGCACGTCCGCGACTGCTTTAAGCGCAGAATCGTTTTTCGTTTTATCGCGCTAAAAACTAATCGACGAAAGATCAAAAAAGGGGATGGGGAGAAGGGCGCTATATTTGTCGCAAGGGGGGAGGGAATACTCGTGATATTTGGCGAACGTGAGAAATGGGCTAATCGACGCGATTAACAGGTCTTTTTTCTTTAACTTCTTTAATTTATATCTTTTAACTGCTAAAAATGCTTAACAACTGGGATAACGATTTTTTGTTGCCTCCCGAAATACATCGCGAGCAAGCTCTTAAATTTATTGCTTTTTCTAATCTAGGACTGTCCCGTACGTACGACTTCGGCGCTCAACACTAACATTCCGCGAGCGCTACTCCCTATTTCGCGTTGACGTCTCCGTAAGACAAGAGACCGAGTTTGAAAATAAATCAAATCTGCTGAGCGTCGAAGACATGACATCACAGTAAAACATCCAGCCGCTCTTTGTTCGTAGCAGAGAGAGATGATTTATTATTAGTATATCGAAAATACCGCGACTATACGACGGCGGCGACGGCGGCAGCGCAGCACGATCTCTTTATCAACGATGTGACTTAATAAAATATTGACAATATACAATAATCAAATCGCGCTCTTCAACGATTGATATAAGAAAATAACAGAAAGCGATCGACGGTCTGTATTAAGCCAATGTTTAACTCTAATGCGTCGTCAAATACCACCCTTTATCCATTCTACTGCTTTCGCAGGCAGTACTAAGCTAAGAATCTGCCACGAATTACGTAATATATACAAGGGCAAGATTAATAATTCAGCTTTCGGATTTCGTTTTGCGAGCGACGACGATGACGATGACGACGATGGTGAAAATACTGATTATTGATGTTTTGGCAGCCGATGTTCGCTCTAAGCGAATAGTAATTTGTTAGCTCTATTACTGGATGAGGTGGATACGCTGTTTAGCAGTACATCTCCAGTAACGTACACATGGTCGGTCCAGTTTTCTCGAGATTATCTACCTTAACGCGGATTGTCCAGTACCAAGTTTTATATCTCCGTACTTTCTTGGGGACGTAAAACCCGCATGCGTATACGAGTAAAAAGAACCGATCAACGTCAAAAGCAGGCGGGCAGTGGTTTCTTGATTTTGTATTAATATTCGTATCAATATTCGCGCGGGGGCCGATCGTCCTTTTTATCCTTTCTCCTGCTATAAGCGATCCATCACGAGGCACTTGGACAAATCGACTTTGGGGTATTGCGGAGACGGATTACCTTTTCGAAGACGCGGGTTACCGTATCCAGACAACGTCGTGCTCTTCGCCTTATCATTGCCGAGAGTCGGCGAGATATACCGGCAATCACGAATCTCATGCGCATGGCTCTCACGCTTAAATGTCGCACCGATGTCACTGTAATAATATGAACAGTCAACCATAAGAACGCGCGGAATATTCGATCCGGCCTCGATCTTGACGCTTCGCTGCTTTCATCTCGATTTTCTGCGAGTTACGTGGACGTTGATGGCGATGACGAGACCTGTTCCGGTTGATAATACCTCAGGCCATTTATCTGTAAAGAAAAGGGAAACGTTCGAGCAAGAGATTTCTTTCCAGAATTTTTTTATATACCCAGAATATATTTTGCTATGTTTTTTGTTATTTACCGTCATATCGTATTCCGTGATATATGCTGGAATCTCAAGTTGGTCAGGCGACATAACTTCATAAAGATATTCCACTCCGGGCAGATTGTGAACCTTCTGTTTAATAGCTGGGGCCATGAAGGTTGTGAACCACCATGTCATCATCTGTAACGTAAACGATCGATTCCGTTCGTTTAAAGAAAATTGAAAAATAGCCTCCATATAAAATCGCGAAAGAAACAGAAGAGTTAAGCATAAAAATGCAGAGATATAATATTTACCGTTATTATTAAATTTTAATTATCGCGTTTATTTGTTTTTTAATGATACGATTAGATTAACGATTACAAAATTACTGCGCAAGCATATTTACTAACGAACTATGAATAGTCAGGAAATTCAATACGATCGTTACAAAGATAATTCGTCATGGAGCATAAACGTGGGAAATGCAGTAATAACATTCAGCGTGCTTTTGCGTCTTAATAACGTTTGTTGAGCGTAATATTCTTCTTTAAATCGTTAGATTCAATAGATATTGTTACTAACCTTGGTCCAGAAGGTAGGATGGATAATGTAGAAATGTTTTAAATTCTTCTTATATCTGTAAAAGAAACCTTATTTCAAGATCGCTATCAAGTTTCTGCAAACAAAACAATATCAAGTTACGAGAGATAACAACTCCATGCAATTTTACTAATGCGCAACTAGGGCTAGGGTGTGTGTAATTTCATATTTCGATTTTTAATTAATTAAATATTGTGAAAAATTAGGTTCTATATTAAAAAAAAAGAGAAAGTAATTTATATAATATTGAATAAAAACATTTTCTATCAAAAGGAGAAACAACGGAACATATGAAAAATTAGCACCCTTTTCGAGAAGATATTTACGTGATAATTAAATTAAATTACTCTACAGATGATATTAAGAGATATATAAAGAGAATATATATATCTTTCCTTTAATTCTCTCTATACCAACAAAGCATATAATATATTACTGCGTTAATCTTTTGAAATAAAAAAGATGTTATCGCATCAAACTAATCGTATATAGCAGGTAATAATAAATATTACAATTATTTTGTGAAAATGTATTGATACTTAAAATTCGGCTAAAAGATGGTTGAAAGATGGTCATAAAATTTTCTATATCACGGGAATGTCTTTGCTTAACCCGTTGCATATATCGTATAAAGGCGCGGTACGTGATTCGACCATGTTAAAATGCGATCAATATATTCAATGCGTTCGATATCAGACGTACAACTTACTTGTAGGGAAGCACATTGTAGACTTCGCGCAGCCAGTGCAAACTGGGGTAATTGCTGCTCGCTGTAAGGGTGTGGAAATACGCGATAACGTAGTCACCCTTCACGATGGGATCCAACAGTTGTATCAGGTACAGCAAGGCCTGAAATTGCAAGAGAAATGCGAAGGTGAAACAGTATTTCGTTGATTGTTTTATTCGCGCTTTATCGTCGTTTCTATCTCGTAAAATAAAAAGCGTGACACAACTATATGTATAATAATCCTTTAAATCCTGTTAGGGTAAAATATGGTAAAATCCATACTGCGTAAAAAATACGATGTCAAAGTAAACAAGGGGTAAATACACGTCCTAAAATAAACGCTACGTAAACGTTTTCGAGATCGATGAGATGTGAGCAAAGGGTATGATATACGGAATGTGTTTCGCGAGTCTTTTCTATGTCGTTGAATGTATAAATAAATTTTCTTGCGAATTCTATCGAAAGAGCTTATGTCGCGATTTTATCGGAATTTAATTCGTCCACCTTTACATTGAGAGAGACTTCTTGAAGAGAATCCTTGAAGATTCGAGGATGAATACAATATTTCGAGCGATCGATGAACCCGTGGTAACGAGCCTCGTAAGCTCGACGACACGTAAAGTAGAAATTTAGACTACAAGAAAGGCAGTTTCATGTTAGTTCAATTGTGTAAAAATACGTTTTATTGGTTATATAATTTTATAAAAATCGTAATTTGGAGGTAAATCTTTATTAAGTTGACATAAAAAAATGCTTCAAAATATTCCCTATTTCAATATATTCATAACAAAATTATTACATGCATACGGCTATGCTTCTAAAATATTATTTCACGAATTCTTCTTCATCTTTATCTTACATGAGACTAATCGAATTCTACGATAAAAATGATGTGGTTGAAGGCGCTACAGCGGTTTAGATCGGAGTAATATCGCGAACGTGATTCAATCTCACGCGATTCAACTACGCGTGTCCGATTATGATTGATAGAATAATGCTATCATGCAATGCATATGGAACTACACTCGTTATTAATATTTTGCAAAAGACAATTGAAGATTTTTCGAACTGTTAGAACTTCCATTATCCAATATTAGTTGATGGAAAACGAATGATCGCTGATAAGCAATAATGAAGTTACTTTAAATGAAAATTACGTCGGGCGTTGTCTCGACGTAAATGCAAAACGTGTCACTATCTGTATCACGACACTGGAGGCACGTTATCTCAGGTCGCTGTGTAATTAGCTTCCCGACTGGGCGTAGATGGTTCATTTCAAAAGCAGGTCAACGGATAAAAAAGTGCAAACGGGATAAAAACGTGGGAGAAGAGAAAAAGATTGAAATGCTTTCGATACTCCAAATTGACAGATTCAAGAGATTCAGCATCAATAGCGAATGGTACTTCATAAATTTTTCGGTCTTAGTACACGCGCTATGACGTTATGTCAACAGCTGCTGTGCATGACGGTGTATATTTTTAGCTAAACCGACAAATCTCCATGCTACATTTCGTTGATATTCCTATTTCGAATCAAGACATTCCAAGATCGCCAGTAATCAGTCGTGATCAATAAAATTGAAGTAAAAAAAAAAAAAAAATAATAATAAAAGCCTTTTTCTCTTATGAAAAAGATATTAGAAACACGTAAGTCACGATGAAAATGTGAATACGTTGAAGAAATGTTTGTCAAAGTAGTTATGACATCATAATGTACATAGAAATGATTTATGTAGAGTTGCATAGGCTTTTGCATCAGAAATGTAAATCATTTTCTCAATCAAAAGCGCGATCAAAAACTGTTTAAAAGCTACGAATTATAAAAAAATACGCATTTTATTAATCGGAATGCGATTGTTCAAACTTCTCTTTTTAAATATAAAAAAAAAACATTCATTATAATGCTATGAAATATTTAATCTATTTTGAATAAATATGTATGCAAATATCTCCGTTACTATCGATGAAGAGGAGAGTGATATCGGAAAATGTGAATAAGGAAGAAATTATTATAATATCAGGATTATGCGTGAGGAAAAAGGAAATAAGCTATATTTTTCAATTTATTTTTGATTTATTTTTTAAACGAAAACCACAATATTAATATTGAAAAAAAAAACAACAATTCCCCCTCCCCGTAAAAAACAAATCGTGGAAAAAAAGATTTTGACAATCATTTGTGTTTTTTTCCGCTAATCACTCTGATTATTACATGCGCGGTTAATGTGATTATCGCATGCAGCCAGCACTCGCGTGCTCTCGCCGATGCAAATGGGTTAAAAGGCAACGGGTGATGAAGTCTCATTGAGGATAGGGGTGCGCGTCGTCGCGACGACGCTGCAATCCGCACGCCCTCCCTATGGGGGGACTCGTTCCGCGGTCGATCTATTTCTGGACGTATAAATATCGATTCGCCACCCGCCGCTATATGTATAACCCCGGCTGTATGTCGGCTATGAGCGGAGCGGTAAGAATCAGTTCGAGGGAGAAAGGAAATGGTACGAAAGCGGGGCGAAGATGGGCGGCCGTATGATCGAGGGCTGGTCTCGAGGGCTATTCTTTCGCGTCCGACACAATGCGAGATATCGAGCACGAGCGACATGCGCACGACTCTCGGTATTTCCATGCACGACGCATATGTTCAGGATATTCGAAAGAAAAAAATATAGAGGAAAATGGTATACGATTTCAATGCAAATATTAGTCGAAGGGGTAGAGACACTTTTCTTACGATAACTTTCGAAATCGCGTCCGACATCGAATTTATTTTCTAATGACTCCGCAATGATAGTTTCATGAAATAAAATCTTCTATTGGATGCCGGTGCCGAGAAAGTCAGTATAACAAAAAGAAATAGTATCTCGATGTTTTGATCGAATGTTTTGATTGACTCATTATACAACTTTTTGATTAAATTAATTATAATTATAATTCGTTAATATATTTTTTGTATATTTGGGGGGCTTAAGCTTAGCATGGGAAACATGTTATTTATCGAAAACATGAAGCGAGTTACTGCGTAAAAAATACGATGTCAAAGTAAACAAGGGGTAAATACACGTCCTAAAATAAACGCTACGTAAACGTTTTCGAGATCGATGAGATGTGAGCAAAGGGTATGATATACGGAATGTGTTTCGCGAGTCTTTTCTATGTCGTTGAATGTATAAATAAATTTTCTTGCGAATTCTATCGAAAGAGCTTATGTCGCGATTTTATCGGAATTTAATTCGTCCACCTTTACATTGAGAGAGACTTCTTGAAGAGAATCCTTGAAGATTCGAGGATGAATACAATATTTCGAGCGATCGATGAACCCGTGGTAACGAGCCTCGTAAGCTCGACGACACGTAAAGTAGAAATTTAGACTACAAGAAAGGCAGTTTCATGTTAGTTCAATTGTGTAAAAATACGTTTTATTGGTTATATAATTTTATAAAAATCGTAATTTGGAGGTAAATCTTTATTAAGTTGACATAAAAAAATGCTTCAAAATATTCCCTATTTCAATATATTCATAACAAAATTATTACATGCATACGGCTATGCTTCTAAAATATTATTTCACGAATTCTTCTTCATCTTTATCTTACATGAGACTAATCGAATTCTACGATAAAAATGATGTGGTTGAAGGCGCTACAGCGGTTTAGATCGGAGTAATATCGCGAACGTGATTCAATCTCACGCGATTCAACTACGCGTGTCCGATTATGATTGATAGAATAATGCTATCATGCAATGCATATGGAACTACACTCGTTATTAATATTTTGCAAAAGACAATTGAAGATTTTTCGAACTGTTAGAACTTCCATTATCCAATATTAGTTGATGGAAAACGAATGATCGCTGATAAGCAATAATGAAGTTACTTTAAATGAAAATTACGTCGGGCGTTGTCTCGACGTAAATGCAAAACGTGTCACTATCTGTATCACGACACTGGAGGCACGTTATCTCAGGTCGCTGTGTAATTAGCTTCCCGACTGGGCGTAGATGGTTCATTTCAAAAGCAGGTCAACGGATAAAAAAGTGCAAACGGGATAAAAACGTGGGAGAAGAGAAAAAGATTGAAATGCTTTCGATACTCCAAATTGACAGATTCAAGAGATTCAGCATCAATAGCGAATGGTACTTCATAAATTTTTCGGTCTTAGTACACGCGCTATGACGTTATGTCAACAGCTGCTGTGCATGACGGTGTATATTTTTAGCTAAACCGACAAATCTCCATGCTACATTTCGTTGATATTCCTATTTCGAATCAAGACATTCCAAGATCGCCAGTAATCAGTCGTGATCAATAAAATTGAAGTAAAAAAAAAAAAAAAATAATAATAAAAGCCTTTTTCTCTTATGAAAAAGATATTAGAAACACGTAAGTCACGATGAAAATGTGAATACGTTGAAGAAATGTTTGTCAAAGTAGTTATGACATCATAATGTACATAGAAATGATTTATGTAGAGTTGCATAGGCTTTTGCATCAGAAATGTAAATCATTTTCTCAATCAAAAGCGCGATCAAAAACTGTTTAAAAGCTACGAATTATAAAAAAATACGCATTTTATTAATCGGAATGCGATTGTTCAAACTTCTCTTTTTAAATATAAAAAAAAAACATTCATTATAATGCTATGAAATATTTAATCTATTTTGAATAAATATGTATGCAAATATCTCCGTTACTATCGATGAAGAGGAGAGTGATATCGGAAAATGTGAATAAGGAAGAAATTATTATAATATCAGGATTATGCGTGAGGAAAAAGGAAATAAGCTATATTTTTCAATTTATTTTTGATTTATTTTTTAAACGAAAACCACAATATTAATATTGAAAAAAAAAACAACAATTCCCCCTCCCCGTAAAAAACAAATCGTGGAAAAAAAGATTTTGACAATCATTTGTGTTTTTTTCCGCTAATCACTCTGATTATTACATGCGCGGTTAATGTGATTATCGCATGCAGCCAGCACTCGCGTGCTCTCGCCGATGCAAATGGGTTAAAAGGCAACGGGTGATGAAGTCTCATTGAGGATAGGGGTGCGCGTCGTCGCGACGACGCTGCAATCCGCACGCCCTCCCTATGGGGGGACTCGTTCCGCGGTCGATCTATTTCTGGACGTATAAATATCGATTCGCCACCCGCCGCTATATGTATAACCCCGGCTGTATGTCGGCTATGAGCGGAGCGGTAAGAATCAGTTCGAGGGAGAAAGGAAATGGTACGAAAGCGGGGCGAAGATGGGCGGCCGTATGATCGAGGGCTGGTCTCGAGGGCTATTCTTTCGCGTCCGACACAATGCGAGATATCGAGCACGAGCGACATGCGCACGACTCTCGGTATTTCCATGCACGACGCATATGTTCAGGATATTCGAAAGAAAAAAATATAGAGGAAAATGGTATACGATTTCAATGCAAATATTAGTCGAAGGGGTAGAGACACTTTTCTTACGATAACTTTCGAAATCGCGTCCGACATCGAATTTATTTTCTAATGACTCCGCAATGATAGTTTCATGAAATAAAATCTTCTATTGGATGCCGGTGCCGAGAAAGTCAGTATAACAAAAAGAAATAGTATCTCGATGTTTTGATCGAATGTTTTGATTGACTCATTATACAACTTTTTGATTAAATTAATTATAATTATAATTCGTTAATATATTTTTTGTATATTTGGGGGGCTTAAGCTTAGCATGGGAAACATGTTATTTATCGAAAACATGAAGCGAGTTAGTATAATTAATATTCAAAAATATATGGTAGTTGCAATGTTACAATAACACTGTTTAAATATGTAAGAGCATTTAAATCAAAGATAATTTCACCGGAAGAATACTTTGTAGAATATTTTACCACCGTATAAGAAATGTTTTAAATTAATCGATTAAATTGTAAAGAACAGACACAAGAATGACTATAGAAAAATGATGTACATACATTGCAACGCAACAACCTGTAATTACGCTTGAGAACTATGTATATCATAGTAAGTTTTACGACATATGCATATAATTGCGATTATGTTTTAAAAATGTCAATTCAAGTGATTATATTCCCAAAACAGTCAACAATTAACTATTAGATTCCATTTAATCTATGATCGAATATGATATTTGATGATGCGTTCATCGTCATCTTGCGCGAGCAACGTATTTCATGTATATATATACGATCTTTTTCGTTAATCGACAACATTGATTTTTAATACAAGCCTTTACCTTATCTAGATTGATTTTCGAGGCGGGGAACCATTTGCCGACGAAAACCACCACCGGTCGACCTTGTCGGTCCACGCCGCTCTGGTAGAGACAACCAATCCCCGAGACCTCGGTCAAGTCCTCCGTCTTCGCCCTCCTGAGGAGCCTTTCGTACCTAAAATCAAGGTAAATTTTGTCCACCTTGTGATGCCAAAGCTTTTAGTATACGAGTCATCACATATTAATATAGCGCTTGGTTTTATTTCAGCGGTCTATTTCGGTTTCACGGTCACGCATTTGTGATAAATCATATTGAGCAATTTTCTTGGAAATTTCCGGCTAATTGTATCTCCGGAGTTCCAGTTTCTGTGATAAGTAGCAATTATTCGATATGAATCCAGATTCGTTTTTATATACGATATGATATTAAGTATTAAAGAAAACGTCAACAAAAATTCACGTTATATAGAAGTTAAGTTGAGAAAGACATGGCGTGATGGATGCGTTGAAATGTTGCTCGAAATTCACGATACGATCGAATGTCACGTAGCTTTAATTGCAAAAGGAAAGAACGTGTTGTTTTGCAAAACATAAAGTGCAAATGGCGATGCATGCTTAAAAATACAACTCTCACGTACATTTTACGGATGTGGTTTATCGCAAATAAGTATATTGCGTATCGTCACGAATTTTACATTAACGTATCTCTATAAATAGTATAAATTCTCTAAAAAATATATGTTTTGGTTGCATGTAAAACTATGCTTTTATTCTCTCTTTGACAGCCCTCCACGGCCTCTATATCGTGCTAATAAAATTTCACTGGTAAATAATATATTGATTATTTTTGAGCATCTTGTTCTGAGATCGTCGAATGTAGAATAAATCAGCAAAGCGACGATACTACATCGTGTACGAATGTATGAGAATTTTCGATACTAGATCGATCACAATACCAACATAAATATATTCCTTGACAATCGATCTATGTGGAACATACTCTGGACGAACGCCAATAAAAGCAAGGATCAATAGCGAACCGATAACGAGACACAGATTTCGTCCGAAAAACGCGCCTGATCGCGGAAAATCGGTATTCGAGGGCTACTTTGAATTACACACCGGTCCTCGTCCTCGATGACATCCACCATATCAATCATGACCATTCTGATGTGACGTTCCCTTCGCTTGCGTGCGCTCTCTCCGGTCTTGCCACGATAAAAGAAGATGAAAAAAAAATGCGCGGATGGGATGCACTAATAGCTCTACACGGACGTCTTTAATCGCGACATTCGTTAAAAGAAAAAGCACTTTAGGAGCCGCACGCGACACGTACAGCCGTTTAATCGAGGAGCCGAGAAACCCGCGGCAAAGAAGGTGCCGTGTGTCGACAATGTCGAGGTACGAGAACGGTACGACGACTGACGACGAACTGACCGAACCGGAGCGTCTTACTTCGACGAGAGGCCACCTCTCGACCTGCGACGTCCACAACGGCCACGACTACGACGACGACGGTTACGACGGCCGGGTCTCCCGCACCACGCCGAAGTCCTGCCCGAGGTTCGTACGGCGCCTGCCCGGCTCGCCAAACTGCGTGCTCGATGCGCGTACGAGACGCGGAGTAGGGATCCGCGTTAGAACCCATTATTAATTCGGGAAATCGCGGTGTATTCTTTAATTACGGTTAATACTACTCGATAGCCTTGAGCAATAACTGTCAACGTGTATCATTTTCCATGACGCTTCTTGTGACCGTAACAGATCGATTAGAAGAGAAACAGGATGAGAAACACGCACTATCTTGATTTCTTTGTATTAATCGTTGAGTACATTTGCGTAATGTAAGTGCGGAGGTATTTTAAGACAAGAGAAAAATGCGCAGGTGCATCGCATATTTTTATGCGTATGAATGAAATTATCATTTTGAAATAATGCAAAAACTGAAATTAAAAAAATATTCGCTCCATGTGTCACGTATTTATGCATTTATTGTATAAACCGATCAATTTCCATTCTTGTCGAGTATAGTTTATAGCGCTTTGAGAGAATACATCTATCGATCCAATGATCGATTCGGCGTAATTTCGAAGTAAATATTTTGTTCGAATTAGATGGAACAGCTGTTTCGATATATGAATAACAGGCTTTTCTTGAAGAGCTTTCTTTTAATGATCGATCATACATTTTCGGCCAAACAGCTATGAAGGTCAATCCAAAGTATGGAATAACATTTTTCCAGTTCGATACGCAATTCGGGATCGTTATTGTCAGATCATATTTCAGACATTGTCGAGATTAGACAGTCTACTAAACTTAAATGCCCGCGTATATAAACGTATCTCGATCATATCTTAAATCCTTATTTGCATGCGTCTTTTCAAAAGAATAATTTTTCTTTCGGGCACTCTTGCATAAGAGACCGAGCAAAAGGCGCACTTTCGCGTTATAATTATTTTGACATAAAAATTATTTTATTTTAGCCGAAATAAAAAAGAAGTATATAATTCGCGAGTGTAAACTGAGAAGATTTCGACAATTCTATAACTTAGGCATTGATGCTATATATATCGAAATGAAATAATATTTCGCTGAAATTCCTGCGTAATAAAAACATCCGGTATGTTCGAGATTATTTTAGATTCAAATATACATGCTTTACAAATTTATAGAAACAATCGGCGTATTTTGCGAAATTTTAGAAGATCCGTGCACATAAATAGAACGACACGCAAATGACGCGTCATTATTCGCATTGCGTTTCGTAGAATTTTGTGTAAAAATTACTTTAATCATCTTGATACGTTAATCGAATTGACAGTCACAAAAAAAAAAAAAAAAAAAAAAAAAAAAAAAAAAAAAAAACAAAAAAAAAAAAAAAATTTTAAATATACAGTATGTAGAATGAGTAAAGGTACACAAACTCTCACGTCATCAAAATCACGATCTTTCAATGTAATGATATATATGATAATATGCCAATTTTTACCTCCATTTTCGTTAATCTCAAACGGTTCCTTCGCGTAAAGGCGGTTCTCTCTCTCTTGTCTCTTCGCACGACGAACACTGACACTGACTGACTCTACTGGCAGTCCCACGTCCCACGTCGCACTTCGCACTTCGCACTCTCGTCTCTCGTCACCCGGTCACCGTCGTCGACGTAGATTTTGTTATCCGCATGTAACTTCTTGCCGATGACACCGCGCGGCGCCGCGTCCGTGACCACGTGACCGACAACCTTGCAATTTTCGATGATCAATGGCATTCCGTTCGTTCTTGGCGGGCTCGGAGAATTTGATAACATCAAAGAGAAAGAGAGAAGGAGCATCGCGGCGATAACCCCTTATTAAAAAAAAAAATGAAGAAAAATAAACAGAAAAAGATACATCAAATCTCAATCATGTGCACGTATAATGTGATTATCGTGTGCGACTTTGAAATCGTATATGCAAATTATTTGTCTCTCGGTGTCAAATATGTACATACTCGT